GCAGAATAAAAGGAGCCGGCCAAAAGCCAACCTAAAAACAAAAAAAAAAAAAAAAAAAAAAATTATTTTATTATATATATAATTAAATCTTTAATTATTTTATTAGGTTATATTACGTATTATAATACTGGAACTCTCGCAAAAATGGTTAATATATTGCGTCAATGGCTTTCAAATAAGGATTTGCTTTGTGCTGTTCACGAAAGATATCAACAAGCTTTGGATTTTGCAAAAGTTCTTTCAATAGTTAATCGAGATGAAGTTTTTAATTTTTTTAAATATTTCTAATAAGCAACTGAACCAACCAAACTAACTAGATGAAAATGATGATTTTTCTGACTATTTTAATGATTCATTTCAAAGCAATGAAATATCAGATTCATATGCAATTGCTACAGCAGCAAATAATGTAGTTAATTTTAATACCATAGTGATGATATTGAAACCGATTTAAGAGATGCACATTTTGAGTTAACTTTTTTAATATCAGATACAAATTCTTCAAAAAATCATGGTTTAGAAATATGTGAAAACTTTTATACTGGCATTATCAAAGTAGGCACTTTAGATATTTCTTACTTAGTTAATTTGCGAAAAAGTCATAAATGTTACAGTAATCAGGATATGAAGCGAAAGACTATCTGTAGAATTCAGAGTCTTAATCATACAAATGCTGTTTCTCCAAATATAATAAGTAGTCTAATTGCAAGTTATACATCAAATATTGAAATATCGCGAACTGAGAAATTATGCAGAATTCGGTGGAAAAATTGAAGTTATTTATCTGTATTATCAAATACAAATAAAAAAGTTGGTAAGTAATAATTATAAGAATACTTTTAATACTTAATTAATAAATTTATTTTTAAAATTTAAATCTAAATAGAATAACTGTTGCTAATGTCAGTGAATATAATCCTCTTCACAAGCATAGTTATGGATTTTCTTATATTAATAACGAACTTTGTTTTGTACAAATTTTGGCACTATATCAGAAGAATTCTAATTACCATTCTTATGTATGTGGTGATGTAGTCAATATAGATTCATTATCTTATTTATCGGTAAAGTTTTTTTCCACTTCGAAATAATATTTTTTCATCTCTAGCTAATTCTGGACACATAGTTTTTAGTCATATTAGTATTAAGTTTTTCATTTATTTTCTTGGATTTGGTGATTTTATTCACGTTGATGAGCAGCATAATTTGATAACTCTTTTTGGAAAGGCTTAGAGTTATATAGGTTTTTTAATGAATACTCTACAAAGAATTTGTTACGAACTATTGTTCATTCAGAGGTAGTAAGGGATTAGATTTAATGAATACTGTGTAATAAATCAATAGAATGATAAACTCTTCGAGCCGATTCTGCTATCTTGGCAGATTTTAATTAGTTCGAAATATACTTTTTTTGATTATGTCAGTTTAATTTAATTATTAATCAAAAAAGTACTTAAGGTAGGCATTGAATTTTTTATCTGCGATTATTTTATTAAAATATCAAAAAAATTAATTTATCAATCGAAGTAGCTAAAATAATTAATACTTATCTAATTTCTATTTAATTAGTCGAAACGTAATAATTATTTATTAAAATTTCAGAAATATATATGTATATATTGAAAAAAAGGTATTTACTATTTAATTTATTTAATTCTTTAATTTAATTTTAAATATAACAGAAGTGGTGTTAAAAATTGCATATTGATTAGGGCACAAGGTCAAAATTTTGAAATTGTAATGTATTATTGTACGTACGTACATATAAACCTTTTAAAGAGTGTATTATATTTTTTTTTGACCTAATTTGGATTATGATCTGGCGCTATAACTGTTGTTTTTTAATAATACAATAATAAATTATATAAGTTATTATATATTATATACAATTAAGTTCGAATATCTATTGAATTTGTAGTTTAAAATACGTAGAATCATTATATATAATAAATAAAAAAAATTTACATGTGCACACAATGCTTTTTAAAGATATATATAGGTTATATAATTAAATCAGACATATAAATTGTAAATCAGAAGGTACAAAGTATAAAACAGACAAAAATAGAGTGTTTAGAGTGGACAAAATGCTCGAAAATTTACTATTAACCCAACTCGTACCTCTATTAGTATTATCCGGGGTCCTTTGAAATCGATGCAACTTTATTTCTTGAAGTTACAACAAATAAATCAGAAATTACATTTCTTACTAATCTTAACAAGATCAATTTATTAAAAATTTATACTTGGACTATTCAAAAATATAGAAATACTTATTATATTTAAACATATATTAAAAACAAATTATTCAATTTCATCAGATTTGTTTAAATTATAAAATGATTGATCATAAAAATAGAATAGGTCTTACGAGGATAAAGTAGTCCTAAGGGGCCTTAGCAGCAGGAATTCTTCTGAGGAAAGCATCTGATGATGCTAAGTTGATCAGAGGGTTTAAATAGGGATCCACAAGCGGATTCTAGATATAGCAATTGGTAGATAACTATAAATAGTATAGCAGAGCCCTTAATTAGACAATGACTAAAGTTGTATATATGACCAATTGTACTCTCGTTGATGTAACAAAGTCAAGAGATATCTATTTGGTATCTTGATAATTAAACTGAGAAGTTAATAAATCGTACCAGACCCCCAAGTGGTCACCTTAATATTTAAAAAAAAAAAAAAAAATAGGTCTTGATAATAGAAAATACAATCTTCAAGAAACAACTTATAGTCAAAATATATTAAATCGAAAATTATTTAAAACAAATATTTCTGGATATAATGGAATTTCTTTTGATAAATATAAAAATACTTGGGTATTTAGTTGGTATGAAAATAAAAAACATAAAACAAATTTTTTTCTATTAAGAAAAAAACTAATAAACAAGCAAAACAACAAGCAATAGAATTTAAATTAGCTCATGATAAAATTACAGGAAATTGTAATAGAAAAGAAGTAAATTTTTAATTATAAAAAGACCTTAATCTCAATATATTTTAATATTTTATCAAAATGTTTCGTTTTATTTTTATTATTTTTTTAAATTATATTTTTTATCTTTATTTAACAACAATTTGTTCTCAAATTGAATATTATTTAAAGAAAAATTTTAATAGTAATATTACCTATTTTGAAAAAAATATTATACTAACAAAAATCAAAGAAAAACAAATAATTTTAGGTTGTTTTGATACTATTGATAAAAATATTATTAATAACTTTATTTTAATTACAAATAATTTTATATATGAAAAAATTCTTGTCTATAATGATAAACTTGTTGATATTGTTAAAAATATTAATTTAGATTTAAATTCATTAGATATAGGCATTTGTACTTTTTCACATTTCAAAAAATATATAAATTTATTTTATTAAAAATTTTATTTGTAAACTCTTTTATTTATTAATAAAATTATAATTATATTCAAATAAATATTATATATAATCAATCGCCTTTGTTTATATTCATTTTTCACATAGTGCAAACAACAAACACGAACAAAGAAAACTGATTAAAAAATTTAACTTCTATTAAAATTGACATCATTACTAATTTTATAGTAAGTTTTAAATAATTTCTTTAAATAAAAAATTATATATTTTATGTTTTTCTTTCTCGAATGTTTCTTTTCAATTGTTTTTTGTTTTCTATTTTTAAATTT